TACCGCCCTCCTGCGCCGGCTGCCCTGCGCTGGGCTCCCGGTCCTGCTCGGTCCCTGCGCCGGGCGCCCGCGGGAGGGATGGATAACGGTTCCGGAGCCGAACTTCCACGGTGACGGGTGAAGCCCGGTCTCTGCTTAACCCTGCCCCTGGCACCGGACTCTTTGCAGACTGGCGGTACTCCTGTAACTTTACTCTCTGCAAATACTGGAAAAAGGTCGCTAAAGGTTTAGCAATCATTTTATTCAGACACCTCAGAAGAAAACAGGAGCAGAATTTGCTGTACCATTTTAAATATCTGACAACTTGCTGCAGGTATTTTTTTTTAAGAATGCATCACTTCACCGCTTCTGTTCCACTCTGCAAACACGGGACATCACCAGCAGCCAGCCCCTTGTTAAGTCCCAGGTAATTCCAAAGACACCAGCTCCAAGAGAGCTGCACGGCCGACGCTTCAACCCCTTTGTCCTCATCCTCAGGGTCTCCCCTGCACCTCACCCAGCCCCGCTCCCATTGCTGCTCGCTCTCAGGGCCCCCCCCCGGGGGGTTACCTGTGCTCCCCCCGCAAGGTCATCCCACCTAGTGAACAAGTTCATTTTACAAACGCCACCCGCATTGCTACAGCAAGCTCTAGGCTGCATTACAGCTCTTTTTAGAGCCAAAATTCTTGGTGGAAGGCAGATGATACCTAAAGCTGTCAATGTTACAGAGAGACACCATTTATTTTTTTTAATTTGCTTTCTAGAGATGTGGACAAATAGAAATTTTATTTTCTAAAGGTCAAATCTCAGAGTTGAAGTCGTAATGTTTATTATCATAGAGAAAACTATGCATGGGAGTGTCTTGCAAGGGCGGTCTGAGAGAGAATAAAGCCTGGGGCTCCCAGCAAAATCTCATAGAACTGGAAAGGTGATAAATGCCTTTACCTTTAGCTGAGAGGTGTCAGGTGGACGAACACAAGAGGAAGATGATTAAAATCCTCCTCAGAGGAAGCATAAGCTTCTGCTCTTCTGCAAGTCCTTATTTGTCCCCAAATATGGAGCAAGGCAATTTGCTCATGGTACGGGGAAGTATTTTAAAAGGTATTTAAAAAAAAAAAAAAAAGGTATCCAGCAAAGCGCACAGCAAGTGCAGTCACCTTTCCCACAGTAAACATGCACTTCATGTGCCCCACTTTTTGATGCTTCAGGTCTGATTTTCAGAAGCATTGAGCATCCAGGCCTCCCACTGATTTAATCTGGAACTGCAGCTTCTCTACCCCTCTGAAGAATCAGGCCGAAGGCACCATACTGAACAGGTCACCCCAAGCCAGACAGTTATTTGAAAAGGTTGTCCTAGAAGTTTACCAAGAGCAACACTTACTCCCCCCCCCTTCAGTGTTATAATAGCACAGAAATAGCCTGAAGAGCTCCAACAGATGGAAGAGTACTTTTGATTAAAAAATAAATTCTGACTCACAACTCTGTTTTCTGGATGTAATAAAAAAAGTACATGAATATGAATAGCACTGGGAAGAATAGAGTGGAGATAAAGGGAGGTTACAAGGAAAGGCAGTGAAACAGCTGAACAGATTTACCTACTTGTTTCTAACACCTGTCAGGAAAATTCTGTTTGTTTTCACTGTAGTGCTGATGAAAGAAAACAAGACCATTAGTAGACTCATGAAATCTCTTTGTAATGAATTCCTTGGAAAAATGTTACTTTTGAAGGACACTTTAAGTCACATCAGTTAAGAACTTAAAATACACTCTCAATAGTAGAGCTGCACAAGGAAGTCAAGATCCTTTTTTCCTTCCTCAATCCCTTCTGAGTAAAAATTACAAGTAAGAAGATTGAATACCATCAAAATTGTACATCTACTCTTGTAGCTGGAAGTACAGGTGAGCAAGTCACCTCCAAGCACTCAGGCCAAATTTCTGCATTTCGGAGTAAAGGGGAAAATGAGTAACTAACATCCTTGACTTCTCCCCAACTCTGATCTTTTATCTTGTGGCTGCAAAGAAATGCAATTTTTTTAAAAGGCTGTGCATGGGTAGGACGGTTCTTCATCAAATGTCTTAAAACACAGCCCTCTAATTTTAGAATCAGACCTTCACAGGCTTCCTTTATGACAGCTATTCTGGCCTTATAATCACATCATTGGTGGTTAAACATCTTGAACAAGGACAGAATTTGAAACACACAATGTGATTAAACCCTACATTATCACTGATGTAATATCCCAGAACCTATTATTGTTCTTGAGCAGGAGGAAAGAATCTAATTAAACATTTATTTAATATTAAAATACAAACTAAAATATCAACATTGGACAGTAATTCAGCAATATGCCAACTAGCAAATAGGTATTTTTCACCAGGAAAAAAAAAAAAATGCATGTATGTTCACAAATACAGCTTGGATTTGATTTGGAAATGTACTCGACCAGAACAGTGGCATGGCACAAAACCCAGACCGGCATATTAAAAGAGTAACTTCGGTTAAGTAGTCAGAGTCCCAGGGTGTCAGCCGGAGTCAAGTTGCTCACTGGGAGGCAGGATGGCTGCTGTCAGGCTCGTGAATCCTGGCACTCGCTGTATCAAAACACTACTCACTGCAACTGCTGGGAGACATCAAATAATTCAGAGCAGTATTTTCCTAACACAGCCAGCAGCAACCAAACTAGCAGAACACATAACAATTTGCAGCCAGCCAGCCATAGTGAAAGTATTGCTCACAGTTTTGTCACAATGAAAAATATCCATGTTATAAGGTTTAAATTAAAAGGATTTGCCATATAACAGTAGTTCCCTTTAACAGGGGTAATTCATGTTGCTTTTTGTAATAAAGTTCAAAATTTCCTATTTTCTAATATTTACATCATACCATAAATATTTATAAAATGGTGAGGAAAACGAAGTGCAAAAGGGTAACACTATCATTTTCTGAAAACAAGCTGCCTTTTAGTTTCTTATTATAAATTGAATATCACTATTTAAAAATAATTAATATTTCTAAAAATATTACAATACAGGATAAACATTAATTTCTCAAGTGTAACAAAAATATGTTCAAAATATAGGTGGCTGTTTGAAGTACAAAATATTGCTGTTTGTAAAGGGTAACATGGTTGTAAACCCACTGTTTACAGTTTATAAAAATACAAAACAATTTGCATTTACTGAGTGCATAATTACACATTAGTGCAAAAAAAAAAAAGCATATTTGCATTCAAGATAGAGTTATCAAAGATTTGCAGAGGTATGTAAAACATGAAATCTTTTCAGAGTCATGCGTATTGACCCCAAATCTCGATTAATCCTTTCCAAGCGATCTTCCAGGGCTTCCTAAAAGAAACAGGAAAAGAAAAGAAAGATAAAGAAAAAAAAAAAAAGGATTTAATAACATTCTACAAAATACAGTGATTCTTCAAAAAATGTAGACACTACTGTTATTCCTATATTCAGCTGGTATCCTTTTTGACACATCACTAGCATTCTGTTAGCACCCAAAAACTAGAGCCAGAACTATAAAACTTTTCATATTATTTTAATGCATGTGTGTGTATTTGTGGGTTGTTGGCTTGTTTTAAAGCCATTTCAGGTATTTTGTTTTTTCCATGTGACTTATGAAACTCACTGAGATAAACTTGACAAGAATTAGGACAGGCTGATAATTAGGGAGACACACTTAGGAAACAGCTGACCACTGGCAGTGGCAGTATTGATTTACTGGAATGCACTTTTACTTTCAAATAGATAAATTGATAACGAGCCTTGGGACTACAATTTAGGAAGTGCTGGAGTTGTAGGCTTTGCAGAGACCTCCAAAACACAACTTTGAGACACTTGTTTTTATTAAAAGAGTCTGCAGAGCTTTCCGAAGAAGGGACTCTCCTGTATTCCGCCTACACTACTTATTTTTGCCTTCTTATTTTCTTCTTTATACTTTCAAGTAGACACAAACCAACCAACCAACCCCTAAACTTTGCGCTTTCTTCTACAGCACAACATCTTCTCCACAGCTTCAGGGATCTATTCCATAGCCACTGCATTTTCTTAATGTATTGCCTTTATCTGCCTCTCAGTGTTATTGCAAGAACAGACTATTCTTGCAGTCATTTGGAAAAATGTATCCCATGTACAAAAAAAAAGAAGATATAAACAGTCTTATGCAGAATACACACTACATAGTATGTATATACATGTATACACACACACGCTTTTTCTTTATATGCGTATATATACAGACACTCACACAAAAGAAAAGTTGTCAGTTTGTGGCAGGAGAGGCAGAAATCAAATGTTTGCAGGGCTAATTGGTTTTATCCAAATCACTTGCATACTAATTATCCAGACTTAAAACCTTTTACATAGCAAGTCAGTGTGTTTATAATTAATTTGCAGTAACTTCCCAATAATCTTCTGATGCAGTGAAGTCTAGAGAATAGAGAACATTTTACACACATTTAAAATTCAGCCATATTCAGGAACAATTCTCAGCGGTATGGAAGAATTCCCATAGTAATCGCATTTGCTGTATAGCAGAACTTTTCATCTATGCTATATATTCTCAAATTGTGGAAGAGCAACTTAACAGAACAGTCAAACGTAGCAGCTTTTTCACCTGATTTAATCTTGCTTGCAAGGTCATTCTTCCACCAGAACAAGGTATTCGACTCAATGCAGCCTCAATCTAGTAACAGAAAATACTTCAGCTGTAAATTATAGTTTCAAGAGCCAATATAACTGTTCCTAACTCATCTGACAAAAAGAGAGGTGAGGTGTAGAGATTACAGATACACGTCCAGTCTTGTTCTTAAACACTAACTTAACGTTAGCATAATACTGTGCCATGCAAAACTGATATCAAAGTTAACATTCATAAGCAGATCCGCTCAAGGATCATTTTGAATGGAGTGCTCTTACTTGCGAGAATAACCTTCCTTGTTTGAAAGGCTGATTTAAAGTATATTCCATTAAGGAAGAAAGTAAATTCACTCCAACCCTTCCATCCACACTGTGTTTACATTAAAGTGACTCTCCTTCAATGAAGTTATAAACAGAAAAGGACTGGAGCATGGGAAGTAGAGCAGGGAATAATGGCACATTCCTAGGGTAACACTAGAAATTGCGCATGATTTTCAGCCATACATTGCACAGGTATTTGGCTACATCCCTCACCTCTCATACAACATCTATGTTTCGTCACACCCTTAAAATAAAAATAATCTTTGCCTGTTGCTTTTCTTGAGTCAGCTCATCAAAAAGCCTCTCTGTTTCAGCCAGAGTCTTAATCCTTGCTGCGTACTTGAAGTCTCCCTCACAAGGTGACAGCACTGGCTCATATTTTTGTGCTGTGCTCCTCTCATCCCAAGCTGTCGCTTTCTTCATTCCAGTATTGACGGATTCAGCACAAGAGCTGTGTCTGACACCTGAATGCTGCCTTCCTATCAACAAAACAAGGGTCTTTTTATTGGCTTTGTAATTGTCTGGAATTATTACACAGGACAGAAAAAGAAACTAATAACAAGAAAAGCAGCACTATCTTGGAGGTATGTGAACTGAGGACAGTGACTCGCAAAGCCTCATTAGCTTGCCTTAAGCAAACTTCCCAGAAGAATGCAAAACATTTGTACAGGTCATCTTTCAAGCAATCTTTATAACACAGCATATTTTTTGGTTAACAAACAGATTACTGTACTAATTAGGAATTACTTTTACTGGTGCAACATTTCTAAATAACACCAAGTAGACTAGTTGTCATGAAAACACTAGTCTAAATAAATGCATTAATAAAAACAAAAGCAGAACATTGTGACAAGAATTACGAAAGTGAGAAAAGATTTGGTTAAATCAATCATTTAAAAAATCTGAAATGACTGGCTTTATTACAGTTACTCTTTGTTATCTGTAATGCAATGTTTAGCAATAGAATTTTATTAGTATGACTAAGTATGTACATCTTAATATAGACCCTACCAAGACATGCATTGTATAACAGAGTTAAGCATAGGAAAACATATTGCCCTTCTTTCTCAATTTAATTATTTTTGTGGTTCCATTGTGTTTGTGCACACACACATATACATAAAAATAAAATACTGTATGAATGGTATTTCTCTGTCTACAGGAGTAAGACAAGATTCAGAGGATTTTTAAAAGCTGGACTTCATAGAATAAAGTGTCAGCTTTCTATTTAAGCAGCTGTTACCAATGTGGAAGAAATTATGTTAAAAAAATAAAGAACAGTTTTCCGCCTGCTTTGACAGATTACCTTCTGCATCATCTAGTGAGAGAAACTGGAGCCTTTTTCTTGGATTATTGTGCTGTAAAGTGGATGTAGGACCAGTTTCTAGGTCATCTAGAAGTATATCAAATCTACAGAGCAGGAAGCACGCAACAATTACTTGCTAGAAATCGCATATCAAGCAATACAATATTTTCTACTTTTTTATCTTTTGGTTAAATAAACAAAGTTTAAAAAAAAAAATTCTATCCCACAGGCATTGCAAGTCTTCCAATTTCTGCTCACAGTACCATACCCCAATATAATCCTATCTGCACACACCAAAATACCTCATTTACATGACTTTCTTTCAGAAGCAGGCCAAGCTGTCACTCCTGAACACACTGAGCTCCCATGTTGTCATCCTCAAGAACCATCAAAGCAGTGCTAGACGTTTCTTCTTCCTCATGCATGTCCTACACTTTAATCTCACAGCTAAGTACGTTCTCAAACACTACAAGCCTTGCCAAGCAAAGATCTCTATAGAAATCATAGTATCTAGTACAATTGGCAGAAAGCTAAGTTTATGTATTTTTTAACATTCTTGTAGGTGCAATGACAGGTAGGTAGATACTACTGTCAACTTTTATCTACGTCTCCTGATAAGTGGCACATAGATCTGGACTCTACCTCCACAGAACAATTTTTCACTGATCAATGTTGTGTCAATAGTAAACCCAACATCTCATCTTGATGAATGCTAAAGACAGGAAATCATTCTAGATTTTTCTTGCCAGACTTTAAAAAGTAAAATTTAGCTTTATATTCAGAAATCTTCAAATTACTCATTTTCTAGGACTTTTAATGAACAAGAACCAGCAGCATTAAGCCTGCATAAACATACTGCTACTCTGATAATCATCAGAACACAACTGTCTTCACAAGACTTGTACCTTGTGACTGTGTTTTCATTTTTACTAAGCAAATGGCTAAATCCAGGAGAGAGGTTTTCTTTCGGAGATCGTTTTGGGCTGTATGTTACAGACACTGGTGCCAACATTATCTCTCTTCTTGCTGCAAAAGACAAAGTATGTTTAACTACCTAAAACTTCTCCCAGTGCAGTATCTCCCACTCATCTCAAAAGAATGCTTTTCAAAGCTCTCTACGTGTTTATTTAAATTACATGAAAAGTGCATCACAACATAGAAAAATGAAAATAAAGTTGGAACTCCCATGTTTTCTATGATTATTGACAAGGTTTTTTTTCAGACTGTTAGAATAATGCAGAAATCCTATCTTTATTTTTCTTTCTCCTACAGCAGCCTTTCATTATTTGCTTCTACTTTGAGTAACACAGACCAAACTTCAGAAAAGCACTTACTTGGAGTATTTGACTTCCTGTTTGAGGGAGGAAGGGACGATGACCTCTGGCCAGAAGGGGAGCTGTACCGTTTCGGTCTGTGTTGGTCTTTACCTTTCTCTGGGGATCGGTTAGCAACTAAAGAAGTTTCAACAAACCCAACAGTTTGACGTCGATTTGATGTTTCTTATTAAAAGGAAAAAAGTTATTATGTTAATGAATCTTCTTCACTAACTCACACATATTCCAATGTACCTAGCTTTTACTGTACAAAGACTGCACTTAGTCTGCCTTGTGTCGGCGTATTTGTGCTGTTTAGCTCGCCTCGCTTCCTGCTCAACATATTCATGAAACAGGTAGTTTAACTCATTAAAAAGGACCCTTTGCAGTGCATGTGAGAGAAATGATGCTGAAGAACACTGATTTAATAAAGAGACAGTGGAAAGCAGAACAAAAGCATCTTTTGGGAAAGAGGGTTAGAACACCTGCCTGAACCAAGAATATAAGCATTTAAGAAAGACTCAGTGTTTTCCAATTACAAGGCTTCCTAAATCAACATTGTTAGAACAGCTCCGGGCAGTCCTACAGGACACTTGCCAACTTTCTTAATAACATTCTGATACAACACCATGAGAACAAAACTAAAATGGATGTACAGCCAGCCAGAGCTTTGTTAGGACTCCATTAACTGTTTACAAATACTGAGATATTCTTAGAAAAAGGACATTAACTACTCCCTAGTTTGAGACCTAACAGCAACCTTTGCATTCCCTCTATTTTAAACAAGTCACTTAGCTATATATAATTTTAAATTTTCTTAGGAAAACTCCAGAAGTTTGCATGCTAAAATTGTTTTTAACCTGTCACTCAAGCCTGATGGACTTCAATGCTGAGAATAACAAAACCAAGAGATATGCAAACAAAGAAAAGCCAGTAGAGACAAGTTCAGGAATACAAAAATAAAATTTACTAGTTGATGTGTCTTCTTTTTCTGTTTGTGTACCCCAATCTTTAAATGCTTTTCCTTCTTCAAGTTCTTTAAAGGCTTTTATAATTGGTGCTTCTGACATCTCATTTTCTTTCTTTTCTGTTGTGTTTGTTGAAGAGTCGTCTTGTGAGGAGTCTTTTTCAGGAGGAGAATGGTGCCTTAAAGAATGTGAGGAGGTGGAGGGGAAAAAAGGATCAAGGTTTTGTTTTGGTTTGGTTTTTTACTTTATTTCATATATCCAAATACCAGCTGAATAAACAAAAACCTGGAGACATTTAGTTTGAGATTTACAGCCATCAAACCAAGAATTTTAAGGGTGCTTTTTCCTTTCAGCCAAGGACCTCAGAGGATTATGCTATAGCCAATTTGAGAATCTTAACTTGAACAGCAAGAGTTAGATCTGGTGACTCAACATGTTCTTACAACCAAGTAAGTACTAACAGAGGCTTCAGAAACTTCTGAGTCAGAAGGCAAACTATTAAATTACACCCTAAATTACACATGAAGCTTCACACTGGTGGAAAGCTGCAGCCGACCGCTACAGGTCACATTCAACAGCACGCTATGTCCAAACTCAGAGTAGAACTGGATGCAAACATGGAGAGCATAAAGACAGTGGCGCACACAAGATGCGGCTGAAGCTTTCTGATATTTCAAGGAAAGTACTGAAGGCTGCTGCTGCTTGCTTCATACCAGGTTAGTGAAGTAAGAAAGTTGTTTTGTTTTTAAGGAATTGTACAGTATCTACAATATCAAGAAATTTTTTTAGAACTATTTAACAAGTACAAAATCTAGATGTATGAATCTAGCCAATTCTGGATAAAAACTATTTTTAGAAGTGTTCAACTATACATCATTGTGGAGACATAAGGAAACCAACTCACCTAGATGGAATATAGCTTTCTTCTAATCTGTTATCTTTTGGGCTTTCCTGGACTTCCAAAGGCTGGCCAGTGAAGATCGAATACTCTGCTCCTGGTATCAACCACTTTCGCCTGCTGACATCAGGAGTTGCCAACTTGCTGTGGGAACAAAAAAAACCTTCAAAATTAGGAAAGGCTTTGAATTTTTCTTTTTTTTTTTTTTTTTAATTTAAGAGAAAAGATTAAGAAAATCCAGTTATTTTTTCTAGCTAAACAGAAAGAATAACAAATATACAATAAACCTGTAAATACCAGGGAAAAATAACCGCTTTTTTATTTTTACTTTACAAACGTTTTAATTTTAAAAAATGTTATGTTGAGGTTTCAGTCTAAATTACACAATATGCTCAGAATGCAGAACTCCACAAAAATCTTCTTGTAATTTATTGCTGCTTACTCAGACCAAGGTTTGGGTAACGAGTAGTTCTCAACTAGATTACTCCAATAGCTCAAAGCATCTGACCCCAGCTTTCCTTTTGACACCATTTATTAGTCACTAAGAAACATAAAAAATTAAAAACCCAAACAAGAATAAGTTGCTGTTGATGACCTGAGAGTGATAAATATTAACTCATAAGCATCAATTATTATTATTTTGAAATATCAAAAGAGAAATGTGATTTTTATACACAGGAAAGCAGATGATAATTAGGGGAAAAAAAGGTTCTTGTTCACTCAAGCTATGAGCCACAACCACTATTCTGTCAATCTATCCTGCTCTGCATTCAATTGGAATGAGGCTTTCTTTGAGCCTTCGAGATCAGTTAGGGACATATTAACTTCCAAATCTATACTGGCTCTTACATCCTCCTCCCTGATGAACATGGTCTGCCATGTTCAGGTCGTCCTTTTTTCATTGTTGAGGGATCTTGTTCATAAATATTAGAACAGCTCTAAGCAGAAATCTGTCCCTGTAATATATTAATACATAAATTACTTGCATCTTTATAATTGTCAAAAATCAGATCCCCCAAAATATTGCTGTTCAATATATACAAATGGACATCCACAAACCACATTACATTATTATTTTGTGCTTCACAACATCAGTGCTGAACTGGGAGAGACACCCAAGAAGCCACAACTAAGAAATAAAAAAAAAGGAGGGGTGGGGAAAGGGTCACAACAAAGCTTTTCGGGTCTTTAAAACATAAAAGGGGCAAAACAGAACACAGGCCAACTTTAATTTCCTTAACATAAATTCACAGTTCAAACTAGAGTATGCATTATAATTTAACTTCCACTCTACTTTCAGGATACCTGTACAAACTATATTTAGAAACATAAAAGGTAGTAATCAGCCTTTCAAATTGATGACAAAGACACGAAGAAAACCTCTAATGTCTTATTGGACTATTAGATTTTATTCCCAAAAATCTTTGTTGAGCATGGGAATCCCTATTCAGCTGAGCAACTGAGACCTGACAAACACTCATTTAGGAAGGCTAGAGACAGTCTGCCAAGTCACACATATATAATCCAAAGTGGTTTTATTTGATTTTAGTAACTTCTTGGGATGTGAAATCTCGGGATTGCATCACGTGTTTAATCCGGTTTAGCCTGTGGACTGACATGTTCTTTACCCATTTTTAGCCAAAACACATTAAAAAAGCATTCTAAAACACATGACCTATTTTCACATTGTTGGAATATTCACTTACTTGGCACAAGAGGTTCTTAAATGACTTTCAGTAATATGGCGAAGTTTCAACATATTTTCATGTTCTACTTGCTTGAGCTGAGCTTCAAGTTTTGAAATTGTCCTAATGTGGACGTAGCAAAGATGCATTATAAGATGATACAAAAGACATGAAAGAGATACCGTATTTCTTAGTTTACTCATTTTTATGCGGAACAAGAGCAACTACTACATTTTTATCTATATATCTAAATATTTATTTAAATTCTAAGTTAAGTAAGTTAAGTAACCTAGCTAGAGACAGGACCAGGAGATAGTTCTGTGGATCAAAGCATTCAACCCAGAGAGGCTGGAGAAAACAAAACAAGAACACTTTTCCTCCTTGAAACCACGTATTTATACAAAAGCCTCCCTGACTCTGGCTTTAATGAGTGGCTCTTTCTGCTGCTCAGGTAACTCCACCAATCTGCTGCTCAGGCTCTTCGCTTGATTTTCCTCTCCCCCATATACTGTAGCCCACATCTTCAGTGAACCAGCCCTTGACAACGCAACACAGTCTTAGGCATTTCCCACTTGGAGGATAGAAATACAGGGGTTTGGAGCAGGATATAGAAATCTCCTTTTTCCACAGTCTGAATGGTCCCTAGCTAGCAGCATCAAGAATCAGCCAGGAAAATAGGAGCACCAATACTTGACTGAACTGTCCTTCACACTATCTTCATTTCCTCAACAGTTCCAACACAAACTGAAATGGTTTTGGCTTCCTTCTATTCCTTTTTTAAGTGTTTCCTATTCATTCTTTCTATTCTTCTTGAAAAATTGGGTGATCTGAGCAGCAAAGAAAAGGACTATGACATGTCACAAGTATCACATTTGCTATTTCTGTGGTTTTGGCTGAAGACCATGCACAGCTTAATGCTTGGTGGCAATAACATTTTGAATGAATTTTGAGATGAAACTTGTAGCCACATTTCTAGAAGAATCATCAAAACCCATGTATTAATAAAACAAACAAAAAAAATAATCTTCCTAACAGTCTGGTTAGGTTAGCTGCTCATATAAAAAACATAAAAGGAAATTATGACAGCACATACCTACAAAAGAACCTTAAAGGGAGATGAATGACATGAAACATCACCTCATTACAGTTCTACAATGCCTGCCCTAGAGCCCTCTCAGATGCCCTCTTCTCCTACCTCTCTAGACTTTTCTGAGCAAGTGTGCTGTTTAACGCCCTTGACAAGGAGCAGCTGAGAAATCCCCAAAATAGAGGAGATGTTTATAACTGTAAACCCCTTCATGGTCGCATATATCTTGCCTAGGGCCTACCCAGAAAGTATAAAGCTCAAAGGATTTCTGTTCTTCCAAGCAAAAAATAGATCCAGGCAGCATGAGGGACATCCACATGTTTCAAGAGCATTCTCGCTCCTGAAAACCAGAACAGAGACTGGCTAGATGAAGACGGGGGTTCCTTAGGAGACAACTGTAGCAGTAAAACCTTAATCAGTGGACTAGCTGGGCTAGCTGAGTGGCAACCATTAGAAAGGAAGCAATTAATTATAGCCCACTAGAAGATGTGATCAAGGAAGTAGAAAAAACACATTCTAAAATAACAAAATTTTTACAATGCATACAAAGTAACATAAAGCAACATGAAGTGCTTCAGAAGATGTAATTAAAATTGCAAGATCTACAGCCTTCATAATCTAGGAGTAAATGTTTAGACTGCAGCCTGTATTTCCTATTGTTAAAATAGTAGCAAGACAGTTTTGCATTTACCTTTTCAGATCAGAAATCTGTGTGTTTGCATCAAGCAATTTGTTTTCAGTTGCATTTAATGTATCCTACAAGCACACAAGGAAAAAAAGTTAAAAGCCTAGAAACTACAGAAGTATATTAAAAGAAAAATGAGTAACTGTGCATCAGTCTTGAAAACAATGCATTAAATGTGCTTTCCTATTTGAAAGCAAGGTCCATTAAATTTCTTTGGCTGATTTTGCAGTATTTTTGCTGTCTGTGACTGGAAAACAATACATTCCAAATTCCCTCCTTTTTTTCTTTCCCGGGCTCTGAAGATGTAGTAAGAAGCTATGAGTTAAAATAAATGCAGATCCTTCCATTTGATCTTTTTCAAAATACCCAAGTTAACTCGGTTAATTCTTTGGCACATTATCACATATTTTGCATGGTTTTTTGTTTGTTTGGTTTTTGGTTTTTTTGTTTGTTTGTTTTAACTAGCACGTACTTACCTTTACTCTTTCATGTTCTTTTCCAAGGGACTCGTACTCTCCTAAAAGCTAAAACAAAAAAAGAACACACAAGTCCACACTGAGACCATACACAATTAACAGTTTTGTTGACTGCTGTAAAATCATCTAAATTGCTTGTCTAACATGTGCAGAAGCACTATGGGGGATACAGAGGGTACTTTAATAGTATTTATTAAGTTCTAGCAGCTTCTAATGGGAACAAAAAGTTAGACAGGACAAGAGGAGACAGAGCTACTTGCACCATGTATTTCTAATTTTCAAATGGTTTATCTCCAAAGAAACCAAAGGAGCTGAATGAACCAGTAAAATTCCTCACTGACTTTAAAGCTGACTTTGTATTTTGAAATTTTAATTGTAAAAAAGGAGTTAAAGTACAAAGTAGCTTTTCCAGCTAATACTCATTTTGCCAATCCCTTTAAACATTCCATAAAGCTATTACTGAAGAATCAAAGGAATAATTCCTTTGATTCAGTCTAAAATCATACACAAAATTAACAGTTTTAGCAAGTTGTGATGACTTATCAAAGAAATTCAGTCCATTCCCACAATAAGCTGATGAAAGAAAAAAAACCAACTTGTTCCAAAGTAATTTCCTGTAATATCTCTAAAAATAAAATGAACTAAGAGTGCATAGAGTAATAAAATACCTGAGACAGACTACGACAAGTGTCACCACATCAAGTATGCACTTCCTGCCTTCCATTATGGTTTTTAAATATCTATTAGGTCCATACTATCACCTAACATCTAGCCTACTAATAGTCAGCTGAATAATTTCTGCCCTCTTGGATGTGCAGTAAAAATTTACTATGGTAAACTTTACGTAGTTTTCCAAAATGCCCAGGGCTTGCTGTATTTGTAACAAACTGTGCAACTGTAAACGCCATTGCCCATTTTCTTACTTACATTTTGAAACATTTTATTTTCTTCCTTTAACCTTGTATTTTTATTATCAGATAACTTGTAAGCCTTTTCAAACGCTTCCTCTAGATCTTTAAGCCTTGATTTTAGTCGACTGATAGTGTTATCTTTCTCTTTATTATTGGTGCGCATTTCTTCAATACGTTCTTGCAAAACTTTGGAAGTATTACTGACTGCATAAAAGCGTTCTCTCCAATCTGTCTGTAAGAGAAAAAACATTCGTTATAACACCTATCTAGCAGATTTTTATTTCAGTACAAAGCATAATCTAAAATAATCTAAATAGAAAACAAGGGTACATCTGTACATTAACTAAAAAAGATTTTTGCTCCTTTCTGTAATGTATAGAGAATTAAAATGAAGACTAAAAACCCAAAAGATGTATTTATTTTATAGGACTTAAAATACCTGGAGGTTAGGCCTCTAACCCCAGCTCATTGTCTTGCTTCCCCAGCATAGAAAATTGTCTAAAATAGGTGGAATGAATTAGCCTCTCCAGGTTTCCGACTTTCATGACAAAGCATCCTGTTCTCTGACCAATACATACAGCTATGCAGTCGTAAGCTAACTGGTTTGACCTGGCCAGAAAGACTGTATAAATATACTTAGATAGATAGTACAGATGAGATTTGCTTTTATCACAGCTCTAATAAGAAGCCAAAGAAAAAGTAATTAAATCAATTTAAAAAAAAAAAAAAAAATCTAAAGAGAGATATCGTAAACACATCACAATATGTCACTCAAACTTTGTTTAATCCCTGATAACCTGGAAAGGTTGTTCATAAGCAAAAGCGACGATGATTCAAGTAGGGAGTTTTAAAGTCAGCTCAAAAAGTCACCGGTATAACGTACTGGCTGATGTCATATATTAAGGAGAAAAGTTGAAAATAGAGAGAGAAAAGATATGGAGAGACAGATCATCTTAATATAAACATGTGCATTCTCTTACCCTTTTAGTTAAAAAGCAATTTGAATTAAGAGCATATACTTACCACTTGCTTTTCTAGCATATTATTCTTATTTTCAAGGGCCTTTATGCGAGCGCTCGCTTCATTCAGAGCTGCATCTAGTTGGTCACACCTGTTCAGAAGATACAGATTACAAAAATCTCCTGAAATTCTGAAATAATAAATCTACATTTTATAGCCTCTTTCCTTCCTCAAGCATCCCCACGAGTTTTGGTGCCAGCCTCTGACCTCCTCCTGTAGCCTTTGACCACTGCAGCGAGCACCCAGGATCTCTGCTTGGAAGGGCTGTGGTGCTCATGGTGGGCAAACAGCAAACTGGGAACACATGCAGAGACTCCAGATGGTTCAGAGCATAAGGGCTGCAGAACCAAAAGCAGCTGAGGTGCACCAGAGTGGAGTTCTACTTCAGCTAAATGATAATGCTGTGTGATAATTAATGACTGAAATCATATCGCAAGCTACTTTAACTCAATAAAAGACTGCTCAGAAGTCACTTTGAATTGTTAGAACGCACTAGAGCTGGAAGATAAGCGTGAAAGAGTCCCAGCTACCCAGACACCTTTTCAGTTATTCTGAAGAGCATAAATTTTAGCTGTCTAATTTTGCAATATGTATTTTGACTGGCAATAATTATATAAAAATCTCATTGAACTTCTATATATAGCAAACACTCAAGCTCTATCTAATGGAATATATAGGTGAGGCACATAGACTCCAGTGGTAATACCTGGCCAAAGAGCATCGACTGCCAAATTGGCTTTATAAAGCTACCAATGAATTCAAGACTGGTCCTATATCACCTGTAGTTTTGACATGAAAGGTAAAGAAGGATGATGTTCACCAGCATGACAGGCGAGCACTACCTTACAACATAGATAGTTCTGTTACACATTGCTTAGGACCACTGCTGCCTGCCAGACTTTCTTGAGCAAAACTTATACTGGCTTCAGCAAAAATCAGGTCAACCAAGACCTCTGGGTCCAAACATCACACTTGCTGCTTAACAATAATTTTGAACTAATATTAAATATCTGCATTAAATAACGCAACATTTATATTTAATAGGAAAATATTAGCACCATAGATGCATGAAATCTTCAATTCTGAAGAGTGACATAAACTTTTCAAAATATTCTAAACAAGCATACTCAGTTTTTAAAGCAGAAAGAAACCATGTAACAGAGGAAGAGGACGAGTAAGGACAAACAGTACCTCTCAGCAAGATTTTGATTGATTTTCTTCAAGTCTTCAGATGCAGCAGTTCTATGGCTTGCCTCTAGTTGCTGTTTTAAGCTATGTATCTCAGAGTCATAGTAAGCTCGCAGATCTGCTATGTGTCGAGCATGTTTTTCCCTCAAGTTCTGCCTGATTCTATTTTCAAAATTAAGAACAAAAAAATTTCCAGCTGTACACACAACCACGCGTTGCTGTATTCATTCACACATAATGAACTCAGCATGTGTATCTCTTACAGTACTTTGCTGCGTTCAAATTAAAGCAAAGAAAGCCTTGTCATCTATGCAGTGGTGTCAGACACCTAAGGCTTGCATAGAAGTCTTCATATTAATATAAATATTAATAATATATACAAATAATATATACAAATACAATACAACACTTTACATTCTTTTGCTATGCACTAGGAACTACGCATGTAAAATTAAAATAGGAAAACCCAAACACTGAACTATCTTGAGACCTTGGAATATATGCCATGTCTGCTTGTCCATGTGCAAATCATGAGAGCATCAGTAGCAAATGGGGCATATTTGTTTTTCCTAAGTCCAGTAGTTCTGTGCTTATTCCACCATTTGACTCTAAATAGGAAAACATAACCCCCACAGAACTTTGAAATTGGCTGCCTAAATTAACTCCCTCATACAGCCTATGAATGAAGTGTGTATTTTTATTTTAACGTATAAAAAGAAATAACCAAAGCATTAAAACTAGAAAATTGTTTTGCCTTCCTGTTAAGGCTTTGACATCCAAGGAAAACAGAGCACAAATATTGTGTCTTAGATTAAACAGCATGGTCTAAAGAAGATTAAATAGTACAGTCTAAAGACAGACAATTGTAAGAAGTGAAAAACTACTGTTGTATTTGTATGTCATCTGTACTTCAGGAAAGAAAAAAAAAGAAAAAAGCAGCAGTGTCCAGCTATGTTCTAACAAACAGAACTTGTACATTTTGTTCGTTTACTAGTATTGTTAAGTTTCACTTCTCTCATGAAAGTCCCAACTCTATGCTTTTTAAAAAAGAAAAAGAAATTACTTACTTTGACATTATCACAGGATCTTCAACAGATTTCACTGAAAGACTACATTCTGGCAAACTGTTGTCAGCACACTGAGTAATAGAAGATGGAGTTAGAGTCAGTGTTTCTTCCTCCTCCGTGTTGACTAAATTATCATTATTAGCATCCATATATGCCATTGGAAAAGGACAGCTGGTCTTGTTTTCATTTTGGAATGGATGATTTCCCCAGAGGTCCAAACGCACAGCTCTGCTACTGGCAGGATATTTTGGAGAATCATCTAACTGAGATGAATTACTTGTCTGTGAAAAAGAGTCTGTGTCACAATGACTTGAAAATCTGGGCTCTGCCATAGAGTCTGGAGAAAAAGGAGTAGTCTCTTCAGGAATATTGAAAAAACAGCATCCTGGGTTCTGCTGACCTGGTTTCATATGCAAGGTTGGGTCCAAAGTCAAGATCTAGGAAATAAATTATAATGAGTAAAAAAAAAAAAAAAAAAAAAAAAAAGTTATTTTAACCTCTGTTCTTGCAAACAGAGTTTATCTGAAGACATTAGGAATCCATATAAAATACTACAGGAATTATACTGAATATTACTACAGTGATTTGGTAGTGACAATCAAGATGAAGGGACCTGCAACAGCTTAGATGATGGATATTCCCCAAAATTTGCAACCTGAGTTTCTAAGTTTCCATTAAGAATAAGAGACCTATCTAACATCTGTAGCTGCCTAGAAAAGCTTTGACATTTCATTTACGTAAACAGAACGACTATGATGCCTGCTTGTAGGTTGAAACAATCACCTTGTACAGTTATGAAAATCACTTCATAGATTATATGAACAAGATAGTCACACAGTAGCCATCATTACCGGATTTTGTACAAGACTGAAAGCTGTATAAAGAAACAGGTATGATAAAGAATATTTCCACAACCTGTGCCTCTTCTGTTTCACGGGTGGAATGAACTTGTCTTGTGGGAAGTGGTAAGAAAACCCTGCTTCTGTGACTGCAGTTCCACGTGCATTTCATCAGCTGCAGCCTCAGCGTAAGCAGATTCATCCCTGCGCCATCCTCAAGGTTGTGCAGCAAAGGTGCTTGTTTACCCAGGGTATTCTTAGAGGTTCTTTTCAGCTGGATCCCTTCCCAATCTGGTTCGTCACACGACTGCACAAATTGCTGTGCCAGCATAACACTGGAGGTGGCAGCAGGGGCCAATTAATGTGAAACCAGCCTGTAACCGATCATATCTTCAAACTGAGGCGTGAAGTAAAGAAATTAACGTTACCTCTGGTGGGTGACTTGACTGGGAAGAAGGCATAAAATTCTGGTCTGGCAGCTGCTTATTTTCCCTTTGTCTTTTATGATAAATATCCTTCAATGATGACAACTTCGTTTCATCAGCAGAAGACAACTTCAACAGGCAAAATTGCTACATTACTTTTTCTGAACACAATCCTCCATCCTCAATATAGATAAACAAGTTATGGGCTGGGTTTAGCTAATAAAGCAGTTCAGAACAGAAGGCTTTATTCAGTGCGCCCAGTTTAGAAAGAGTCTTTAATGAGGCACATACACCTTTAATGTACTAACTAGTCTCCTTCATCTCCTATACACGCAAATTCTTTTAAATGACAAAAGAAGATCAATAAAATTCCAAGTGACATTAGCGGAGGTAAATGAATAATTAAGGAACAGAGTATGAGAGACTGAGCTAACAAAAGAGTTCTCACAGAAAAGCTGGCTTCTGGAGGGCTGATTCTTTCCATCATAGAAAAAAGCAAAGATGACAAGCAAGTAAAAGACAACTTTTAAAACATGTACAAAGTTTACCTGATCTGGTGATGCTTCTGTGGAGAAAATATCAGCGAACTCACTTCTGAAATTCTCTGGTAAAGAGTGATACATCTCTTTTTCATCTAATTTCCAGTATGAAAGTCCTGATAAGAAGAAACATTGAGAGAAAAAAAAATAAATTATGAATTTCAAGCTTACAACTATAGAACAGGAATCCCAAAATCCATTAGTAAAATGTTACTTTGTCAGCTAACAAGAATGCTATATTAATTATTTGCATCTATTGCTTAAGAATCTCACCAAGGCATTTGTTACCAGAAGTTACAAAAATCTCAATGCAAAGCACAAACAAAGTAATCAGTATTACATCCCACAGCATCAGTAAAGAAAGCTATAAATCAGTGAAAACATATAGATTTACTCTTTGGTGTTCAAGGAACAAATCCTCATTTACCACAAACTTTTATATTTCTACTGATTCCAGTATAGCACTTAAAACCAAGGAATAATTCTAGTCAGCCACTTGATATTGCAAACTCTCCGGTTTGGTACTCAACAGCACTCTACAGCATGCAAAAGACAGACTACCGGGACCAAGAAGGATGGCACAAGAGGAACAGAAACAGTCTCAATCCTACTTCAATTTCTTGTATGTGTCCCTCTCTCAATGGGTTGTGAAGAAGCAATATATAAACACAGTTTGCAGGGCTACACCTCTGTGCCCTGTTTGTTACTGAAATGAATCCACCCTGTTACGACCAAAATACGTGAATTAGTTGTTTGGCTTTCATAAAAAAAAGCCCAAACCCACAAAAACCAACAACAACCACTCCTCGCACACCCACCCCAAAACAACAAAAGCAAAACCGTACCAAAACACAAAAAAGCACACCCCCTCAAATTAAAGAATCACTACATTACACACTGCATTATTTTGTTCTTTTCACACAATTATTGAATCATGCCCTTGCCTCACAGGAATTCTACCTCTCTTGTGATGACTAGACCAATGATGCTAATATTTGAAAGTTCATTTGATACTCCACAATAATTTTAACAGCAATTACATTATTGAAAGGGTTTTAAACATAAAGCACAGCTTTGCAACGTTGAGAAATTTGAAGAAAAAAATTGCTGCACATCCTACATCTGCCAGCAGTGATACACAGGAGCTACCATCAGTTTGAAACACAAAAACAAGAAAAGCAGAATTATGCTCTATCAAAGTTTAATAGCTTGTCAGTGCTCAAACCCTCCTCACCTCCCCAAAGTTACTGGAGATGCATTCTAGTAAGAGTTTTAAAAAAATGAGAATTCAAAAGAAAAGGAGATTTAAGTACAAGACATTAACTATACCTGATGCTTCAGACACTAAGGAATTCGGACTTTCGTTCGGTTGATTGAGGTAAAAAGTATAAGGGGGCAAAGCAGCATCAGTAAGGTTTGTCTAAAATGACAAAGGAAAAACAAATTTATAAGAAAAAAAAATCACAAGGCAAGGAAAAAAAAAATCAAGGGTACAATTTTTTTATAATTGCACTTAAATGTTATTTGTCTTTTTAAGCAAAGATATTAAATTTAATTATACAGCATGATCCAAACCTATACAATTTGTATTCAGGGCAGTCACAGCCAAAAAGGGAACTAAGCTAAGCCACATAACTAAAAGATACTGCTGTTTTCTAAGTCATGTGCCTGTCCACTTGTGAAGCATTTTTGAGATTAACCGTCACAAAAATACACATTTTGGACAGTCATCTAAATTTTCTTGCTCCTTAAGAGGTGCAAGTATATTGGTAAGTCATCCCTCTATAAAGTGTTACTCTTTCTAAGATTGGAATTTCTTATGTTCAGCTGTTATGACTCCACCTACCACAAATCTAGAGGTAAACACTGGCTATTATCTCAGATAAACAAAATACAGCATACCCTTCCTCTCATCACTCCAAACTTTCTAAGCAACCTCTCCAGCTAATTACAGAAACAACTTGGAAAAGGGTGCGATCAAGACCTGGAGAAAAAAAAAAATTAAAAAAAAAAAATCGCAGAATTTAAGATTTGCTACAACTTTCCTCTTCCTTAATCAGAGGGAAGTGGCATTGATATAACACAGTGATACAAGAGCAGCTGAGTAAGGGCAGCCAGCTTTAAAATGGTCATTTCACATTGCTCTTTTCTACCGTACTTAGGGCTTTTTGTTCCATTACAGCAGCTTAACACTCACACTACTTGGCAAATTTATACAGCTTATACAACTGAGCACTAAGACAGGATAGTAACCATTGGCATAACAAAAGTAAGAAAGAAAAAAAAAAAAACCACTAAAGCTTTTCAAGTTTTTGCATGAAGTACCATCTCACCTCAAGGCTATTTTGTCCCTCTTAATGTTTTTATTTAGGTATTCTCCTTTGCCTAAGGAGGAAGAAAGGAAAATGAAGGGGTATCAACTGAATTCTTACAAAGGAACAGAAAGATAAAAGTATTTTCAAAAGCTGAGCGAGAAAAGCGACAATCCACAGCAGATAAATTTGACTCCTTGTTTTAAATACCACTTTAAACTCGCATCTTGCTTCCACTGACAACAGAAGACTAGAGACAGTAAGTCCAAACAGCTACTCTTGCCCTTACTGGATCCCCCTCAAAGTGACCACAGGAAAGAAAACAGACCCTGCCTTGAATCAAGTGATTCATATTTGCTAGTTCTCCTACTCTCTTGTAGGTGGAGTCATTCACAGAGTTTCAGGAATTATTTCCTTAAAAATAGCATAAGAAGAAAGGTTTGTGACAATTCATATACTGAAAGTAATTCTAGAACTTCATAGTTACACGCATGATGATCACTCATACAATCATGTTACATAACATCCTTTTGAATCAGAAATATTATATGTGATTAAACTTCCCTCCCCAAAATAATCAGACATAGACAATTATTTACTCAAGAATATGGGGGGGAACACAAACGAAAATATTCTCAAAAGAAGTATCTGGAGCCGATTCAGCAGTCACAGCAATAGGCATTACTGCAAATGGTTCTAAAGAGCCATTAGATTTCCTAAATGTCTATTGTGGGGGTTGGTTATGTTTAGTAACTAGTGCTATAACTGTGCTTGGAGTAGTTCAATGTAACCAAATCATAGTCATACACAGGCATAAAAGAATGTATTATTCTTACATAAAACACCACAAAAAAAGAAAAAGAAAAAAAGCACACAACCAACACGTTTGGATTTTAGCATAAGAGGCTGCTAGGAACACTAAAAAAGCCCAAACCAAACCAAAAAATATCCTTGCAACTTAAAATCCTAATCTAGAAGAACAGTATCTGTCCTGAACAAAGCAGCTAATGCCTCGACATGCAAAAAGTTCTGTGCACCAGCTGAAATCAAAGATCCTTCAAAAAATTATAGGGCACAATAAGTTACCATGACTTGAAGCTTCAATCGAGGATGTGACTATTATCTCTATAAGGAGAGAACACATGCCACTTAGGTAGATTAAGACAAAAACTAAGCAAGGAATAAAATAAGCCAAAATAGCTATGTGAATAAGTATAAAATGATCCAATTAAGTAAACTCTGCCTGCATGAACTTTAAACATATAAACGGGAACGCCAATACTCAAATGCTTAAAGCTAAGCATGAAGGCACATGCTGAATCAGAACATACTGTAACACTGAAAAAATGCCAGTGACAATAATAAAATTAGAAAAACCATCATAAAAGAAAGAGACTTACATTCTCAAGCGGCAATTTCTTTGTTTGCTCATTTTCTTGCATAGAGTTCACACATACTTTTTCAGCATTTATTCTTTTTGGTTGGTTTTGTTTCAACTTCTGTGCCCATGATGTTAAAGATTTACTAGATGGTAAGAAACACACACATATACCGTGAGTATGTATGTCCTTTACAGTGGAGACACAAAATCAATTTCTTCAAGGTGAAACACAGGCACTAAAACTCCACTGCCTCTGTGCATTTTTGAGAAACAATATGAAGTAATGAACACTGAAATGTTTTAGGGCTCTTTTTAAAAAAAGTAAAATAAAACAACAACAAAAAACACAAACAAATGACTGAAGGGAAAGGTGCTAATCAACTGTATGCATAATCAAATGGCTTTCCTACTATAAAAAAAAACCCAAACAAACCATAACAAAGAGCTCCATATTTTTAGCCAGGCAACTATTTTGTGGTCTGTTCAAGCAGATACTGATCAAAACCACAAAATTAAGCTGGAATGTAAATGTAGTGTTTTTTCCTCAATGTGTTATCAGTCTGGTTGTAAAGATTATGTTAGCTAAGACACACTAAGGATGCCTTCCAACTGAAGAGAATCTTCAAGGATAAGAAAGATCAAAACAAGATATAGAAGAAAGCAAAACAAAACAAAAAAGTAGAAGAACAGAAAAAAGTAGAGACATCCTGAAATTCTTCTTAGAGGTAGATGTGGAACAACTTTCCCATTTTGTTAAAAAGTAACACCTTGAAAAACTACATATGGTCCTGAACCGGGACATACAGTAGAAAGAATGAAAAATAGGTTACAACTAAAAATTAAAAAACAACAAACAACACAGTTCGGGTTAACTGAACTATTCCACTTCGGTTTGAAACCTTTCTTCCTTCAAACTGAGTTCATAATACAAAACAAAGTAATTTCAAAGAAAAAAAAATAAAAAGGACAAAACCCCATAAATTAATTATTTCAAAAGTTGTCTTACAAAGGTTTTTCAAACTGAAAAACACTCTTGAGTTGAGCTTCTCAAGCTCTAAGTTTCCCTGGCAGTCCATGAATTGCAGCTATTCCCCTCACAGAAGTTTGCAACATGAATCAAATACTGGAATAAATCCCAACAGAAGGAAGAGAATATACATATCGATGAGGTTATGATCTACCTTATATGCTGAAATAAGACATTTCCAAACCAAATTCGCTAAAGAAAGCTGGTTCTGTGTTTTATTATCTACTAGCAAAATGCAAGTTCATTTTCACAATTCTCTGTTTTCCCAACAGAGAGAAAGTTTTTATCTCTGGAAACTACTATCAGGGACTCACAGGCAACACGCTGCCCACCAGACCTCTGATACTGCTCATGACCCCATGAAGCCTCTGCCATTACAGCAAAGTCTGACAGGGAGAGCAAAGTACATTGTTAAGTTCTATGCAACTAGAGAAGTCCTTGGTCAGTATTATTGCCAAATTAGCTAGCCAATATTTCAAAAAAAATCTTGGTAGATCCACCCACCTATTGACTAAAGCAAACCCAACAAAGATCATCGGAAAAAACCCAACAGAAAAACACAAACAATTATATTACTGTAATGCATGCATATAAGCTAGCAAAAAAGACTGGTTGAGCACAATAGCAAAATATCAGTCATATGAAATTGGTAATCAGCACCTAAAATTCTGGTGCGCAGATAAAGGCTATATGTAAACTGTATCTTAGCTCATCTTTGCAGAAGAAAGGAGATTATCATATTTTTCCCCAACATATCTCCAACAGAAAAAAACAATAGATGTAAGCATGCATCACTCAAACATTAGCCTAAACAAGTAACTTTATCTACCAAGCAGCATAGTATTTTTTACAATCAAGATGTTCCATTCAATTCTTACATGTTTCCAGTTACCAACAGCTGTTTACTGAATGGGGACTGTCTACAATAAATTAAGATATTTGGAAAGTTTATCACTTACCTGTTTTTTTTTCCACATTGAGCTTCATCAATTTTATGATGAAAAATTTTCCTCTATTTTTGGGGGGATAAGTTCTGTTTTATTTTGAACACTGGCTACAGCTGTGTCACTCTGCAATACTGCTGCATCACCCTGTTCTTGTGAAGTTTTGTCCGTGTAGTCTGTGCAGTTGTTAATGTCGTCTGATTTGCTAGGGTTCAGCTCGGAGGCAGAAAGTGTACCATACCCACTATTCATTGAAGCATCATTTGCAAAACATTCCTGATGCAGATCACATGCATTTGGCTGACTTTCTGCTTCATTAGATCTAAGTTGGTTGACAATGCACTCATTTTCTTCAAAGACTTCAGAACGCATCCCCATTTGACTTTCTAGTGATGAAAAAGTGTCTGTAAGCTTGGCAGGCAAACTTCTGCTCTTGCTGGCACCCCAACTGCTGGTCTGCAATTTCACTAACAGCCTTATCTCATCCTGAATCAGCTATAGGAAAACAAAAGGCAAAATTCCTATGAGATCATGCCACAAATCACAAATATAAATCTTGAAGCATCTTCGATTAATGTTATTAGTGAGATAATTAGAGTACTTATTTCAAAAAACTCAAATTTTTCAGTGTAGACATCTCATGCGTGAAGTAGATATATGCATACTGTGCATAAGAGTAAAATGTCCATGGCAACAATCTTTAATTCCATGCAGTGAATTACAGGTCTCAGTATTCATTTTTTCATGTAAAAAAACATGCATACAAGTATTCACTACATGCCTTCAGAACTACAGTTACCTACCAGCCGGCTAAAGAAATATAAACTATCTAGGTATGTCATTAGAAGTGGACAAAAGTCTATTGCTAAATTTATGTCTAAAATAATTTATAACTCAGATACACATGTTTAAAGATTGCAAGGATGCTTTAATGGAAGTATAAACCATTACTCTATTACACTAATAGGAATAATGTACCTCTGTAAGATTATTTGCATAAAACTTGACTTTAAACTGATTTGGATAATATGTGATTAGGCAGTTCATATAATACAAAGATTTACATTTTGACTGTTTTAGTATCTGATGGGGTGGAGCAAATCTCTAACTAGATCACTAGATTTAACAGGTTACTTATTCTTTAGTCTACAATGTCAGCAAAGAATTATTTCAGGATATTAGAGTAGTAGTATGTTTTTTTCCAAAGTTTTACAGTTGTGCACTGGTATACTGAAACAGCTCTGAGAAACAACTAATGCTTTTGTCAAGGGCTATGAAAAGACTTCATGCTAGTGCCCATGGCTGTGTCCTTTAGCCAGTGATCAGCACTTCTGCAGAGTTATATTGAGATTACTGAACACTGCATAAGCACACAACTCTTATTACACATTACAAGACCAGAGTATATGGTTCTTTTCAAGAACATATTTCAAACTAATTCCCTTGGGGGCGGGGGGCGGAAAGAGCTTGCAATACTTTTAAGAACATGGAACTCTAATGTTTTTTTTCCACAGGACTACAGTACATTACTCACATATGAATAGCAAGTGGAAAACAAAAATTGAACAAAAATCATTTGTTTTCTGAAAGTAAGAAATAAAAAATAAGACAATTTCAGAGGAACCTACGTGGAATGCTAATCAGAACCAAGCCTCATATTTTTTACTAACTTGCAATAGCATCAACAATTGAATTTCAGCTCAGTCTTCCTATTAAAACAAACAAAAAACTGGGATAGTTTTCTGACATAACGAAGTTTTTTGTTGTGCTAATGATTTCAATCATGACTACAGCAATCATTTTCACTTTAATTCCATGATTCAACTCTGTCGAGGAAGGTAAGGAAGGGAGAACAAAGGGAAGGAACACAGTTGAGGGGGAAGGGGGGACAACACCAAACTGGTCAGATTCTCTGCTGACATTTAAACTTTGTCATTACTACCTTGTGCAGGAAAAATGAAAGGGTACTATTCCAATGAAATAGCATTTTTACTTCTCTTTGCATAGCCACAAATAATTCCAAGAGAAGAAAAGACCTCAGAAAAATAAGACAACATTTCTATAGTTTTGGGCTTGTCGGTAACTTTTCTTAAATCCTCTTCAATAAAGTCTGATTTTAGGATGATCCACACATGGTGATAGTTTGTCATTAGTACACTTGTCTTCTAGTGTATAAATCACTTAAGAACTGACCCCACTGATTCCAAAATGAATTCAAGGTCTTTTGATCCAAGTTTTCACATGGATAAAGATGTATTTTTATAAGCACAGTTGGTCTTTAAACACAGCATAGAGCAAGTCTTATCTCAGAGTCATGTCAATGCTAATGCAGTATCTTGCTTTTCTACCCCAAAGAGTAGATAATTATTTTTGTCTTATTATTCTTATTAGAATGTGTTGAGTTACCTGTATTTCACTAGGTCACTGGCATACCAGTTTAAGTTTGGAATAGCTCCATCTATTTTATCTAATGCACTCATACAACTGAAAGTAAGTTATAGCTGTTGATTTTATATTTAGCATGGTAATTCATGCAGTTAGTAAGTCCCTGCTGATACCACAAACTCAACTCTTCCAGAGGTAGCCTTTCCTATTAAGGACAACAAAAACCGGCAAAGCCAACACAATGGATTAGTCAAGACTATGATTAGCAACCAGTAAATCAAACCACTACAGTAAGAGGAAGGAAATACAAAGGTAAGGAAACACTGGTGGGACAAAAATAACGAGATGGGAGGGGGGAGAAACAGGAGATAGGATAAAAGGACAGTACCTCTTGTTAATTCAGTTCAGGAACTGTTGATTACTACTAGTGTAGAGGGCATCAGGAAAGGGAAGGGAAAAACAGCAACCAAAATGATGAAGATATTAAGTATTATATAATCATAGAATTACTGTCTCTTACACATACATATACATTTCTTCTGTTTCAATGGATAAATATGGTTCAGCAAAAACGTGAATCTTCCAGTGGGTCATTTTTCATTCTTAGAAAGGAGACTGTTCAACTGAAGGGTGAAATAAGTGTTCAGCTATTACAGCGAATGTTTTCCTATGCTAGAATATGTTGCATAACATTTTCCAATGAAGAGAAAACTACAATGTCTCAAAATTAGAAATTATACAGTCTAACAGTTAATAAAAAACAGCTTGTACCTACAAAATCCAATTATCGCATAGGCATTCTGAACCAAATTCTTGTGAAAACAGAACAACTGAAAACAAATAATCCAAGAATCTTTAATTCTGAAATGGTTATGACCAGTTACTTCGTTAATTAGCCAAGGCTATCTCAAATATGCATCCTGTAATTTGGCATTCCCATCATCCACTTCCATTAACTGCCTGTCTGAATATACTTACAGAAAAATATAGGAGTGTCAGAGATCATGTTGCATTGTTTTGGAGGCGAGAGTGGTAGATTAAAGAAACATTCAGCCTAACCCACCTACATGAACAAATCATTACTTACTTGGATTTGATGTTGGAACTGCTCTTGCTGGGCAACTATTTGTTCCTGACATTGTTTTTCTACCAGCCTCAATAACTGTAGCCACCTTGTCTATTAAACCACAAAGTAAAATAATTAAAACACAGTCATATTGCATCTCTTACCTTTACTCTAGCTACAAAATAGTTTTGCAATCTTATACTTAGGTATTGACATAATACAAAGGTTAACAACAGCACTGTGGTTATCCAGCCCACATTACATGCAGCCCCCTATCATGTCAGTCAATGGAAACAATTCACTATGGACACAAGGCCCTTCTAGAAAGCAAGATTTCACAACTCTACAATTTAAGTTTGGTTTAAAAAACCAACCAAACAAGTGATCAAGGGAAGAGAGTTATTCTATTTAAAAAAAAAAAATAAATCAAATTACTTAGAAGTAGAAACAGTTGGCAGGAAAGTACAGTGAAAATTTGGAAAGGTTGATTCCAGTTCAATAAATTATAGGTGATTTTAAAATTGGCAATTAAACACCCCTATGTCCAGTGAACCATTCGTTTCAATAAGAAACTCCTCCCCTTCAACAAGGCCATGATGCATAACTATTTAGTGAAAACAAAAAGAATTTTTTTTAAAAAAAAATCAAATATATAGGGTTCCTAAAATGTGGCAAAATCTGAATTTTAAAAACTATTTTATCCTAATGTTTATGGAATCTGATACTTGAAGCATAGGACACGGGACATAGAACACATGTGCCTAGACAGAGACATCTATATTCTTTTCTTGGAGCTGTTAAAGAGCACCCAAATTAAGCATCTGTCAAGACAGTTTGATGGACCACAGCCAGAAAGCTTAAAAATTCCTCAGGAACAAGCCCATGGTGTGGAAACCTGATGTTCCTTATGGAGACTAAAAATAATGATAAAATTTAAAATTAAAGAGGACAAAAACAACATTAAAAAAAGGTTTTGAGAGAATGAGCTCATTGAACCTACATCATTATTTTTGTGTTGTTTCAGATATGGAAACAAACTAATCATCTACATATCTTTATAAATGGAATAAATAATTCAGCTAAATCAGAGCCATTTTTAGAAAGAAAACTTCTAATTTCTAGGATCACTTCAGACCAGTCTGAAGTGCTACTTTAAAGGTTTACATTTTTCAGTTCAAAAACTTGCAATCTTTAAGAATTATAACTTTGATAAAAATTCACATCTGTATTGTAAAACACAAAGATAAAAAGCTAAGATAAAATTGCAGTAAAATCCATCCATGTGATTAGTTTATACATTGTAAAAGGATTTGTTCCATCATGAAGAACAAACAAATACATATATAGATCTCACTGCTAAACTGTATCATCATTAGAGCTGTCTTCCAAAATGCAAAGCCAATACATTAATATTTTTTTAAATAAATGTTAACATCAAATACCTCACAGTTCTTCACAATTTCTGAGTCAGCATTTCCAATGTTCTGGATATCTTGCATAAAGGAGGCAAGCAGCTCAACAGAACCAGGTATTAATGAGGACCTGGTATTCCCTGAGTAACCAGAAACTCCATTGGGATTGGATGAGGGACTTCTAGTGAAACATGAGGAAAGAACATTTCAATTATTTATTGTGCCAGTTGTCCAACATAGTGACCAAAGTAATATACTACATATGCTATGCAGAAATAAAAGAATCATACACTTGATTTACACTGTGACTCTCATCATGCTGGGGAAAAAAAAACCTGATACCTTCACAAGAATGAGGGTGTTCTTCAAGAAAATGTCAAAGAATCCACAGCATGCTTCATTCTTATCCTACACACATTAAAAAGCAGTAGCTTTCCAAGAAGAGAGACAGCATAATCAGCACAGATATTTCTGCTCACTAGTACAAATGTCAATAAACACAGCTTTTCATCAAATCTATGTGCTTCTTCATAGATTCTGAGGTCAGAAGCTTACAGATATAACCTTCTGTGTAACTGTGATTTATGAAGTCCAGGACTACTGCCTCCTCTTGAGAAGTTACACATGCAGTAAGCGACTTGTAATTTTCATCTTAACAGGTCAGTCAAGAAACCTTCCTAACCTGTCACTTAGGCCATTAGTCCATATTTGCCCTTCTTATTCACTGGGAATACCTTGGGCACTGAACAGAAAAACAATTCAGGTTTTCTAAGCTGCTTGTTCTCTACAAATGACTTAGCATAATGCATGATCTTTCCAAAGAATGATCTCTTACAATTTGTTCAAGACAGGTTTCCCCCACACACATTCCAAGAAACACAAGGCAATGGAAGTTACTAAATTTTTAAGGAAGGCTTAGCAGTTCTTTCAATAAGGCTTTTCTCATTAAGGATTATACCTGTAAATGTAAAAAAAACAAAACAAAACCAAACCAAAAAAACCAAACACAAACAACCCTAAAATATATTGCAGAGTATTGCATGTTATTACACCTTAGTAACAATGTTACTGTAAAAGCATACTAAGAAAACAAAAAATAGTAAAAATATTTGTTAGGAATTCCTTCAACTCATTACCTGCTACTATTCAAATTACAGACAGAGCTGTGGGTATTTCTGACATCAGAGTCTGCAGAAGTTGAAGGGATTTCTTGTGCAGTATTCACCACATCACAGTTTTCCATAACTTAGGCTCAAGTATGACATTACCCTGAAAATATAAAGAAGGAAGCATCACCCTCGTATTTTAAAAAGCTGTTTGACTTTGTTGTTTGAAGAAACAGAATCTGATTAGAGACACAGTTGTTTCAGTCAAACCACCCCAGAACATGCTAGCATTCCACACCCAACCTCTCTTCCTCATCCTGTGCTATTCATTCAGCCTTGTACTTGCCAGGACTCCTACAAAGCAAAGAGATTCCTAGCTGCACATCACACATCTAGACTGGGCTGTAAAGGGTGTCTGAATCCAAAACATTGCAGGTAAAACAGTGTTGTTGGGCTGTGTTTGGTTGGTTTTTTAAGTCTGAGTCTCCACAGACTGTTTTCGAGACCTCTGTGAAATGGCCTGTTAGAAATGTATTTAAATCTGCTGAATGGGGATCTGCACCTTCACTGCAAGAAACACACCCCCCAAAAAATAAAATCAAGACCCACCGAGTTAGACTGCAGTTGACCAATCCTGCTATTTGTGTGCATAATATTTGGCTTACTTTTTTTCACATAATGCTTGTTTTATTATTACTATATAATATTAATTCAAAAAGCTTTGAAACCATTTTGAGCTACATTTGGTACCAATTAACAATAAAATGTAGTCAAACAGGAATCCCACAGCAGTTAAAAACAGCAGCTGGTTAACTGAAAGCATCATAAATAAATAAATACAAAATACTCATGCAATGGTCTTACAGCACTCAAAGCAGCAGTTTACAAGAATGGCTGCAGAGACACTGAAAGATTTTTCCGGTTTCCATACTTTGACCAAGAACACATTTGAAATACACTGATTAATCAGATCTTCCATAGTGCTTATTTCAGCATGTTCTACACCCTGATGAATTCATCCTATGTTCTAACACTGGAGAAAAACCTTACAATCATTTCACAGATGGAGAGCAAAAAGAGACATTAAGAAATATCATCCTAGTTGTCTGTGATAATACCAAGAATAAATCCCTGCTGCCTTAAAGAAGCACAACACCTTCACAGCACAACCATTCTTCTTTACAGGGTTTACAAGGACATGCTACTGGCTTCTACAGATTTAACTTTTCATTATTTTCAAGTACCTAGAGATATATCACTAACAGACAGTTTCGGAAGCATTAAAAAAAAATCATTTCCACCCGAAGGAAACCGATGGACAACTGTCTGATTTTTCCCTGGTTTACGGGAGCCTGGTTGGCTTTAGCAGAAATGTTTTCCAGGTACTCACTCAAGCTAGCTCCTTTGGGTAGGGCTAAAAGTGCAAGAATTGGAAGGGAGTTATCACAGATACACATATCCCTTTGGCAGAGCTTCTTGGGATAAATGAAAGAAGAAAAAAAGCCTTTCTTCTTTTTCTAGTGGTCAGAAGTCTGGAAAACTTGAAGGTTATCAGGCACCTAACCTGACAGATAAAGCAGAAGCTGCAAATGTCTCTGGAGCAGCTGGATGGCAATGGTGCGGGCTACATCAGTCGCCCCCATCTCCCCAGGATGAAATCATGGGTGGCCTATCTCAGCAGCACAGCAGATGGGTGGGACTTAGCTGTGACACAGGCTCGTTTCATAACCTCATTAGAAGTCTGCTCGCAACAACAAAAAAAAAAAAAATAAAAATTAAGTGAGCTATAACTAGGCTGAGGAACAGCTAAGCTGTCATCTATTGTTTCCATAGCACATAACAGTCCTTATACGGCCAAGTCCCTACATAAAGGAGTAGGATAAAAAAAAAAAAAACCCAAGCTGCGAGGTATTTTGTCTCCCAAGTCTCAGTGCCGATTTAGACGAAAACACCTGGGCCAGCAGCACAGACCCAGAGCACGCAGCGCAGCGTCCCTTCCCGAG